CAATCTGAGTTTTACACAAGCAAGCGGGAACCATGCAGGAACTTGTTCAGGGGCCACAGGTTGCTCTCGCCCACATTGGAGGTGCGCCTCTGGCACTGCTTGCAGCGCCGGTACTTCTGGCACTGATCCAGTAGGAATAGCTTGTCAGAAGCCCTAAGGAAAGGAGAGCAAAAGCAGTCATCAGCAGGAGGCCTAGCCCAGAAGCAGGTGGTGGGACAGAAACAAAAGCCAACACCCAGGTCCTGCTTTCAAGGATCTGACAACCCACCTGCGGTCTCTCACCTCCGCTCTGCTACCGCTTCGCGGCACCCCTGCATCCAAATCTCCACCGTCTCCTCTTCTCTACTAAACAGAGGCCTATGCTTGGGACCTTCACAACAGCCTGGCCTTATGCTCCTCCCCAGACACACCCATCCAAACCCACCGAGAGCACAGGACTTGCCCCAAAGCTTGTGCTTGCTGCTTTGGCACGTGTGCAGTTCGGCAGTGTTTGAGAAGGAGATCAGACCAGGAAGCTGCTGGTTACCATTAGTACAGAGTTAAGAACAGACTGGCAATGAACAATCCCAAGAGACCAGAGCCTTGGGAGAGAAGGGCAAGAGAGAAAGTGGAGACAAAGAGGAGGAGGACAAAAGTGGCTTAGAGCAGAGATGAGGGGTCAGCCATGACAGATTTGCCACTTGGGCCATTTTTGTATTTGTTGTTGTGCAAGAACAATCCCTGATGTGCTCCCCTACCCCATCAACAGTTCTACATAAGCGAAATTCTGTCAAAAAAAAAAAAAAAAAAGACCATTGTGAGCAACCTTAAAAAGAAAAAAAGTAACCTTGAAGTGAGCATGGGAAGACCTCTCTGCCTTACCTAGATAATGGCACAGGCATGCTACCCGCATACATGTGAAGCCTAGTTTTGCTTTTGCTTTGTTTTCTTTTTTCACCCACCAATTCTTTCTTTCGGCTTGAATCCCTGATGACAACCTGGCCTGGGACACCGGGTGACAGGTCTTCTCTGCATGTTCCTGGAGCAGATTTGTTAGCCTGCTCTTCAACATTACTTCCTATGTCTCTTCTACCTGTTATCACCATGTTGACTAAGCATTCCTACTAAAGACAACAAAACCTCCCTGGTATTACTCTCACTGCCTTTTTCTTGCCTTCCTACAATGCCTACAACATTGAACAAGTGGCTTGAAATCCCCAACTCCTCTTCTTCTGGCCCAGTGACCCCACTCTTCTGAAACCTATTTTCTACAATCTCTAGAACATATGCAAACACATGGAGACTGAAAAACATGCTCCTGAATGAACAGTGGATCAATGAAGAAATCAAAGAGAAACCAAAAAATTTCTAGAAATGAATGAAGATGACAATACAATATATCAAAACTTATGAGACATAGCAAAAGCAGTGTTATGAAGAAAGCTTATAGCAATTGGTACCTACATCAAGAAACTGGAAAGGTACCAAATAAATGAGCTATCAGTGCATCTCAAGAACCTAGAAAAACAACAGCAAACCAAACCCAAAACTAGTAGGAGTAAAAAATAATTAAAATTAGAGAAAAAGTAAACAAAACTGAAAAAAATACAAAAGATCAGCAAAACGAAAGCTATTTTTTTGAAAAAAATAAACAAAGTTGACAAACCATTGATCAGACTAACCCAAAAAAAAAAAAAAAAAAAACAATAGGCCTGTGCCAAGGCTCACTAGGCTAATCCTCCACCTTGCAGCACCGGCACACCAGGTGCTAGTCCCGGTCGGGGCGCTGGATTCTGTCCCGGTTGCCCCTCTTCCAGGCCAGCTCTCTGCTGTGGCCAGGGAGTGCAGTGGAGGATGGCCCAAGTACTTGGGCCCTGCACCCAATGGGAGACCAGGATAAGTACCTGGCTCCTAACCATCAGATCAGTGCGGTGCGCCAGCTGCAGCGCGCCGGCCGCGGCAGTCATTGGAGGGTGAACCAACGGCCAAGGAAGACCTTTCTTCTTCTGTCTCATCTCTTCTTCTCACTGTCCACTCTGCTGTCAAAAAATCAGATACAGTAAAATAAAAACATAACTACATGAATATTCCTCGAATCTCAGGAATTAAAGGATCTCGATACTACAGAGCTGTATGCCAACAAATTGGGAAACTTAGAAGAAATAGATACATTCCTGGACACATACAACCTACCTAAATTGAACCATGAAGACAGAAAACCTAAACAGACCAATAACCAAGACAGAAATTGAAACAGTAATAAAGATCCTCCCAAAAGGAAAAGCCCAAGACCAGATGGATTCACTGCTGAATTCTATCAGACATTTAAAGAAGAACTAACTCCAATTCTTCTCAAACTATTCCAAATTGAAAGAGAACCGATAAATGAATTCAGTAAAAATGTAGAATACAAGGTCAGCTTGCAAAAATCAGGAGGATTTCAATACCCTAGTAACAAATCAGATGGAAAAGAAATTAAGAAAACAGTCCCATTGACAATAACAACTGCAAAAAATGGAAAATATCACAGAATAAATTTAAACAGGGAGGTGAAAGAGATTGAAGAGATGACTAAAAAGTAGAAAGTTATCCCATGGTCATGTATTTGAAGAACCAATATTTTTAAATGCCCATAATACTCAAATTAATCTACAGATTCAGAGCAATCATGTCACAATACCAATGACATTCTTCACAGAAATAAAATGGGTGAAAATATTTGCAAGCTGTTCAGCTGATGATGAAAGGACTCAACCGAACAAGTTCCACCCCATAATCCAATTTTTAAAATGAGCAAATGGTCTGAGAGACATGTCTCAAAAGAAGATACACAAACGATCAACAAGTATATGAAATCATCAGGGAATGGGAAATCAAAACCACAATGAAATACTAGCACACCCCGTTAGAATGGCTGTTAACAAAAAGACAACAAATACCGGTGAGAATTTGGAGAAAGGGGAACTCTCATCCACCATTGATGGGAATGCAAATCGGTGCAGACCTTGTGGAAAACAGTATGGAGTTTCCTCAAAAGTCTAGAAATAAAACTATCACATAATCCAGCAATCCCATTGAGGGTACATATGCAAAAGAAAGGAAGCCAGGATATTGAAGATATACCTATACTCCCATGTTTTTTGTAGCACTGTCCACAACAGTCAGGGTATGGAGTCAATCTAGGTGCTCCATTTGTAGATGAATGGATAAAGAACACGTGGTTACTTATACACAATGGAATACTACTCAGCCAAAAAAAGAATGCAGTCCTGTCATTTGCAGCAACACAGATGAGCCTGGAGGACACTGTGTCAAGTGAAACAAGTCAGCACAGAAAGAAAACTACCACATGTTCCCACTTACATGTGAAAGCTTAGAACATTGATCTCATAGAAGTAGAGAGTAGAATAGTGGTTACAAGATGCTGGAAAGGGGAGGAGGGAACAGTGGGAGGAACATGGTCAGTGGATACAAGGGTACAGTTGGGTGGGAGGAATAATGTGATGATCTGCAGCACAATGAGATCACTGATTCAGAACAGTTAATTTAGTGTCTCAAAATAGCTAATAGGATTCTGCATGTTCCCAACACAAGAGACATACTTTTGAGGTGATGGATATGCTAATTAATCTGATCATAACATGTTGTATACATGCATTGAAATGCCACACTGTACAATTATGTGTGTCAATTATGAATAAACATACATATATTTTAAAAAAGAAAGACAAATGAGAAATGATATACAAGAAACACTACAAGGAAAAGGATTACAGACCAAGATCCATTTTAACAAAAATTATGCTACAAAAGAAATGGTAATTTAAACTATTATTTTTGTAGACTTAGATTTTAATAATTTGCATATATAGACTATTTAATTAAATTTTTAAGGGTTTGTGAAATCATACCTAATAAATGGAACATATTTAATTTTTTTCAAAGTATAATACTTTCCCATATCTTTATTTGATTCCTAAAACTCCTGTGTCACTTTGCTAAGGCAAGTGTTTGCTTTCCCATTTAACAAAAGAGATAAAAAGGGACCAGTGTTGTAGCACAGCAGGTTAAGCTAATGCCTGGGACACCATTTCCCATATAAGAATGCCAATTGGAGTCCTGGCTGCTCCACTTCCGGTCCAGTTCCTACTAATGCACCTGATAAAGCAGTGGATGATGTCCCAAGTACTTGGGTCCCTGCTACCACATGTAAGACTGGATGAAGTTCCAGGATCCTGGCTTCAGCCTGGCCCAGCCCCTGCTGCTATAGCCATTTAGGAAGTAGACCAGCAGATGGAAGATCTGTCTCTATCTATTGATCTCTCCCTCTCTGTGTGTCACTCTGCCTATCAAATAAGCAAGTAAATATAATCTTATTTTTAAAAAAGATTAGCTTTCTCTCCAAAGTTATGCTAATTATCAAAGCCAGGACTAGAACCCAGATTTCCTCACTCTTATATTGCAAATACAAAGGGACAGAAGATTTAATAAATTTCAAGTAGATGCTCTTGGTTCTTCCATAATAGGCATCTCATTTTTTAAATTGTCAGTCTTATCTACAATCCCTTGACTCTTAAGCAATCATTCCACAAGCTTTGGAAGTGTTCAGATCAGAAACTCACTCTCTCTGCTCCCATCTAATTATCTTCAAAGAGAATTCCCACCCTCTACAAGGTGAGAAATGGGGAAAGGAAAAGAAGTGACTGAGCAAGATAAAAAAAAAATAAAATAAAATAAAAACCACCCTAAACAGGGGCAAACATTAGGGCAGGGCTGGTAAGCATCCACCGTACAACACAACCTTCTCCAATACCATTACGGACACTCTTAATCAATCACAGTAGTATTTCCCGATGAACACAGACTTGCTTTCTCCACTGAGCTGTCTAGGAGGCCACTTTTAATCAACTGGGGTTGGTACTTGAAATCTAAGCGCCATCCCAGGATTAAAGGACAGCAAACAAGGAACAGAGGGGACGTTCTCTGTAATCAAAGAACTTCTGGTTCCAATCAGAGTTTACCGCTCGAAAGCCTTCTCCTCCAGGTCCCGCTGCTTCTTCATCTCGGTACTGTGTTCCCAGTCCTCCTGCAAGCATTGGTTGATTCTGCTCACTTGCTCCAGCTCAGCAGTTCTGTCTGCCAAATGCCTGGAGAGAAAAGAACAGTCTTACTCCATTCAAAATATATGGAAGGCCATGCACTGACTTTGAGAGTCCCGCTTCTTTTATGTTAAATTAAACAGAAAATCTTCTGGTCGTTCACTACCCTTTGAAATATTCTGAAAGGCACAAACACTGTAAAATCACAGTGAAACTCCTGGCTCTCAGATAATTTGTGGGTCTAGAACCTTTCATCTTCAGGCCTGATTTAAATTAGCATAATTGAAACCTTTTTCCAATTAACAACTCAGCCTTTAAAGTCATTAATTTCCTTTGTGGCTACTTAACTCATCTGAAGAATCATCCCCAGCAGATTTCCAATGCTGTTTGTTTCGTTTTATTCCTGCCTCTCAGCTGTCTGCCTACTGGTTGCTACAGAAACTTAGTAAGACAAAGCAGACAGGCATACAAATGGAGAAAGGGGGGAAAGGAACAAATTGACTGAGCAAGATAAAAGGAAACAGTAAAAATACCAAGCATTGTGAAGAAGGCAAGGAAAAAAGGGAGTCATGTTGTAAAGTGGCTGCAAGTATCTCTAAGCTCCATGTCTCAGTATTCCAGGTGCTGTTTTTCCATCAAATACATGGTCACTAATTTTAAATCACCTTAATCCTCATTCACATTGCCTGTATGTGTCGATTTCTTGCCAAAGTGAAACTTGTACCATCACTTCTCATTAAAGTCTGGGAGCTTCCCTAGAGATGATTGATTTAACCCGCTTAGAAGGGTTTTGTGGTACAGACAGAGACAGCCACTAGGTGTCAGGATTCTCCAATACAAACCTGTAGGATCCTCTGGGCTGGTTCATTTTCTTCCAGAACAGTATACAAACAAGGAAAACATCGTTCCCCTGCAGTCAAGGCTAGGGCTGTTGGTGTAGGGCTAATCTTATGAGTATAAGAGTTAACTGAAATTGATCTCTGGAAAGGGAAGAGGAAAGAGAAAAAGGGCAGGAGTATGGGTGGGAGGGAGGTAGGGAAGAAGCAGCATCATGTTCCCAATTTGTACATATTAAATGCATGGAGGTATATTCCTTAAACAAAATAAATTATTTAAAAAACAGCATAGCCACCTTTCATCTAACAAGCACTGCTTCAACAGCTGTTGTGTGATTATTAAGAAGATTAAATGATACACAGAAAGTGGCAATGCCTATCTTATAAGTGTCAATGCCTATCACATAGTGACTGATGATATTTTTATAAGCTTTTTTTCTTTTCATAGTTATTTTTCAGGTCTCATGAAAATTCTATAACCAGCTTAACCATTTCCAAATGCAGTTATTTTGTGGTCTGTATATACACATTTTTGTGTAATCCCTCAAACTCACTTTGCAAAACTGACACAATCCCCAGGACATAACTCCCCATCCGTCCCTACTAGAGCCCCTGACAATCACAATTTTTCTTTCTGTTTCCATGAACTTTACTCCTCAAGGTACTTCATGTAACTGGAATCATACAGCATTTGCCTCTCATGACTGGCTAATTTCACTTAGAATATAATGTTCTCAAGGTTCATTTGTGTAGTAGGATGTGCCAGGATTTTCTTCCATTTTTAAGGCTGAATAATAATTCCATTGCATGCACAAACCATGTTTTTTCAGCCATTCACCTGTCGACAGACACTTGAGTTGCTTGTAAAAAGTGCTGCTATCAATAGCAAATGTCTCTTGAGCTCTTGCTTTTAGTTATTTTGGATACATACATAGAAGGAGAATTACTAGTTCATATGGTAATTCTAATTGTAATTTATTTTTTACATTCCCACCAACAACATATAACATTTGCTACTTCTCTGTATCCTTACCAACACTCACTATTTTCTCTTTTGTTTTTTAATAGGAGCCACCTTAATGGGCATGAAATATAATCATTGTGGTTTTCATAATGGTGTCTTTGCAAACGCTTTGTGGCCACCATTATTATTTAAAGGATAGATAAGCAATCATTTTCATTTGAATGCCTACAAAGTAAGAAAATGAGGCAAGGGGGCAACTAGTAATATCACAACACTGCTGGTGTGCAAATTATTACATTTTTTAGAAATTAAACTGTCAGTCTCTTGTAAAATTTTAAATGTGTTTTACACTTGACTCAGCTACCCCACTTCTAGGAATCTGTCTGATAAAAACAAAAGAACCAATATAAAGGTATATATTAAGAATATTTAGGGGGCCAGGGTTGTGGCACAGTGGGTTAAGCCACTACCTGCAACACCTGCATCCCATATGAGGGTCAGTTAGAGTCCGGGCTCTTCCGCTTCTGAACTGGCTCCCTGCTAATGTGCCTGGAGAAAAGCAGCAGATGGCCCGAGTACTTGGACCACTGCCATCCATGTGGGAGACCCAGAAGAAGCTCTAGGCTCCTAGTTTCGGCCTGGCCATGAGGCCATTTGGGGAGGGACCCAGCAGATGGAAGATACGTCTCTCTTCCTCTCTCTGTAACTCTGCCTTTCAAATAAATAAATACATCTTTTAAAAAAATTGTTTGATACAAAATATCTGGTAACAAAGTGAATGTTAATCAATGCTACAAAATTAAATTATAGTACATTCATATTATAGATATTATGCCCCTTTTAAAGAAGAATTAATTTGGTATATATGTGCTGACCTGGATATCATTAATGGTACATTATTAGGTTAGGTTGCAGAGTAATGTATAAGAGCTCATAGTCTGCACTTTCATTTACAGAAATGGAAGTAAATATATATAAGTATATTGTTTGAATGTATTTGTTAAAGTAAATGAAAAAAACATAAAATGCTACATATAAACCTAAATGTTGGCTACTTGGAAGGGGCAATTACTAACTTTCTTTAAAGTCTGTTTTATTGCAGGAGCGTGAATTGAAAATTTTAGGCCGGCGCTGCGGCTCACTAGGCTAATCCTCCGCCTTGCAGCGCCGGCACACTGGGTTCTAGTCCCGGTCGGGGCACCGGATTCTGTCCCGGTTGCCCCTCTTCCAGGCCAGCTCTCTGCTGTGGCCAGGGAGTGCAGTGGAGGATGGCCCAAGTCCTTGGGCCCTGCACCCCATGGGAGACCAGGAAAAGTACCTGGCTCCTGCCATCGGATCAGCACGGTGCACCGGCTGCAGCGTGCCGGCCGTGGCAGCCATTGGAGGGTGAACCAACGGCAAAAGGAAGACCTTCCTCTCTGTCTCTCTCTCTCTCTCATTGTCCACTCTGCCTTTCCAAAAAAAGAAAAGAAAATTTTAAAGAAAAAAAAAGAGTGAAAGAAGTATAAATAGCTTAGCAGAAATGTTTGGATCACTCTGGGTAAATTATCCTCTATGAAACAAAATGACCTTCATTCACCACAGGAGGACCTAAAATCACATCTTGAGATAAACTAAAGAGAAGGGCCTTGGAGCTGGAAAAGATACACAGAAGTGAATGTGGAATAACTAGGAAAAGATACAGAAATTGAAACCAAGAATCCCACCTATACAGAAAAGGGGATCTATAACCAAAACTCCAACAAGAGAGACAAAAAGGTTAAAGTTTGCATCTTTTCAGAGAATTAAAACTTCCAAAAGTCTCTCACAGACTTACAATCTCATCTAATTCTTGCAGTAAGGACAGGTAGAGCACTGAAATTATCCTTATTCTTACTACGAAGCAAAGAAGACTGGGGAAGTCTATCTATGCCCTAGTCTAAATCATACAACTTGGAAAAGATAAAGTGTAACCCTCCTAACTCCAAGTGTAGGAGGTGAACTAGAGAAGTTAATGAGGAGAATCTGAGGAGACAGCTGCAATAATCTCAGCATAAAATGAAAGGCTCCAGATCTACCTCACTGAGGCGGCAGACACAGAAAGCCTTGAGATGAGTGACGGGTGAACGCTACTGTAAAACAGAAGCTAAATGCTGTCCCAAGGGAATAAGTGTATTAAAAAAAAAAAAAACGGGGTGGGGGGGTGGTGGCACACTGTGGCATAGCGGGTAAAGCTGCCGCCTTCAGTGCTGGCATCCCTTATGGGCCCTCGCTCGAGTCCAGGCTTCTCTACTTCCAATCCAGCTCTCTGCTATGGCTTGGGAAAGAAGTGGAAGATGGCTCAAGTCCTTGGGCCCCCATGCCCATGTGGGAGACCCAGAAGAAGCTCCTGGCTCCTAGCTTCAGACCAATGTAGCTTTGGCAGTTGCAATCATCTGGGGAGTGAACCAGCGGAGGGAAGACTCTCTCTCTCTCTCTCTCTCTCTCTCTCTGCCTCTGCCTCTCTATAACGCTGCCTTTCAAATAAATACATAAAAATTTTTTTAAAAAATGGGGAAAACATCTTCCCCTCAGGAATGTTTAGAGTTTCAAAAATATACTTGACATCTACCCATGCTCTCGCTTGCACCACGTACTGAGCACTGCGGGAACTCACCCGGTATGGCCGCCTAGAGCGAGCTCCAGCCTCTGCCTCAGCTACAAGCTTAAGTGGGGCTACCGTCCTCCAAGTCTGGCTTCTGAACGCTGCTTGAATGGCAAGTCAAAATTCCTTCAGGACAGAACATGATACCTCTGGGGAGCTCAAGGTCCCAAATGATAAGTATTACGGCACCCAGACTGTGAGATCTACAACGAGCTTCAAGACTGGAGGTGTGACAGAATGCATGCCAGTTCCAGTTACTAAAGCTTTCGGTATCTTGAAGCAAGCAGCTGCTGAAGTAAGCCAGGATTATGGTCTTGACCCAAAGATTGCCAATGCAATAATGAAGGCAGCAGATGAGGTAGCTGAAGGTAAATTAAGTGATCATTTTCCTCTGCTGATATGGCAGACTGGATCAGGAACCCAGACAAACATGAATGTGACTGAAGTCATTAGCAATAGAGCGATTGAGGTCTTGGGAGGTGAACTTGGCAATAAGAAACCTGTGCATACCAATGATCATGTTAGTAAAAGCCAGAGTTCAAATGATACTTTCCCCACAGCAATGCACATTGCTGCTGCAATAGAAGTTCATGAAGTACTCTTACCAGGATGTCAGAAGTTGCATGATGCTCTGGAAGCAAAATCCAGAGAGTTTGCTCAGATCATCAAAATCAGTGGACTCAAACTCAGGATGCTGTTCCACTGACTCTGGGCCAGGAATTCAGTGGCTATGTTCAACAAGTGAAACATGCAGTGATGAGAATAAGAGCTGCCATGCCAAGAATCTATGAGCTCGCAGCTGGAGGCACTGCTGATGGTACTGGCTTACATACTAGAAGTGGCTTTGCAGAAAGGGTTGCTACAAAGGTGGCTACCCTCACAGGCTTGCCTTTTGTCACTGCTCCAAATAAATGTGAAGCCCTGCTGCTCATGATGCTCTGGTTGAGCTCAGTAGAGCCGTGAACACTGCTGCTTGCAGTCTGATGAAGATAGCAAATGATACTCGTTTTCTGGGTTCTGGCCCTCGCTCAGGCCTGGGAGAATTGATCTTGCCTGAAAATGAACTGGGAATCAGCATCAAGCCAGGCAAGGTGAACCCTACTCAGTGTGAAGCAATGACCATGGTTGCAGCCCAGGTCATGGGAAATTAACTATAACAGTTGGAGGCAGCAATGGACATTTTGAGTTGAATGTTTTCAAGCCAATGATGATTAAAAATGTGTTACAGTCAGCCAGACTGCTGGGAGATGCTCCAGTTTCTTCAAAGAAAATTTTGTCCTGGGGATTCAAGTTAACACACAAGGATCAACAAGCTAATTAATGAGTCTCGAACATTGGTGACAGCTCTCAATCCACATTTAGGATTTGACAAGGCAGCAAAGATTGTTAAGAACGCACACAAAAACGGATAAACCTTAAAGGAAACTGCTGTTGAACTTTGCTATCTCACAGCACAGCAGTTTAATGAGTGGGTGAAACCTAAGGACATAAGTAAATTTATAGTAAAAATAAATGCAGTATATATAATTAAATACACACACACACACACACACACACACACACACACTTGGTAAAGGGCCTGTACCAAATATTTAAAGAAATTTCAAAACTCAGCAATAAAACAACTTAATTTTTGAAAGATTTAAATAGACACTTCAGACACTTAACCTAGGAAGACATGTAGATAGCAAATAGGAGCATGAAATGACTTCAACATCATTAATCATTAGAGAGATGCAAATTAAAGCAGGAGATGTCTCTCCACACCTATTAGAACAGCTAAACAAAAGACTGATGATATACCAAATGCTGGCAAGGATGAGAAGGACTAGAACTCTTATACACTATTGGCTGAAAATGTAAACTAGTACAACAATTTTGGAAAACACTTTGGCACTTGTTTTAAGAAGTTAAATATATTGGGGCTGGCGCTGTGGTACAGCGGGTTAACGCCCTGGCCTAAAGCACCGGCATCCCATAATAGCACCGGTTCAAGACCCAGCTGCTCTACTTCCAGTCCAGCTCTCTGTTATGGCCTAGGAATGCAGTGGAGGATGGTCTGGGTCCTTGGGCCCCTGCACCCACGTGGGAGACCTGGAAGAAGCTCCTGGCTCCTGGCTTCGGATCAGCACAGCTCTGGCTGGTATGGCCAATTGGGGAATGAACCAGCGTATGGAGGATTTCTCTCTCTCTCTCTCTCTCTCTCTCTGCCTCTCCTCTCTCTGTGTAACTCTGAATTTCAAATAAGCAGATAAAATCTTTAAAAAAAAAAAAAAGTTAAATATAAGGGCCAGCACTGTGGCGTAGCAGGTTAAAGCCCCTGCCTGCAGCACCAGCATCTCATATGGGCATCATTTTGAGTCCCAGCTGCTCCACTTCTGATCCAGCTCCCTGCTAAAGAGCCTGGAAAAGCAGCAGAAGATGGCCAAGTCCTTGGGCCCCTGCACCCACATGGGAAACCTGGAAGAAGCTCCTGGCTCCTGGCTTCACATTGGCTCAGCTCCACCATTGGGGTCATTTGGGGAGTGAACCAGAGGATGGAAGACCTCTCTCTGTGTGTCTCTCCCTCTGTAACTCTGCCTCTCAAATAAATAAATAAAATCTTTAAAAAAAAAAACTTACATATATACCTACCCCAGGATCCAATCATGCTACTCCTAAGTTTTTACCCAAGATAAAAAGAAACTGTATGTCCATACAAAGATTTAATCATGAATGTTCAGAGTAGCTTTATTTGTAATATCCAAAAATTGGAAATAACTCAAGTGTCTATCAACAGATAAGTAAATAAAATAACAATGATAACTAGCTAGTAAGGATAGAAATATTATCATATAAAACAACATGGATGGGTATCAAAATCATGACTCTAATACAAAAACAGACAAAAAACAATATATACCAAATGGGTACATTTACATCAAACCCTAAGAAATGCAAACTATAGTGACAGATGGCAGATTAGTAGTTGCCTGAGGATGGGGGTTGGGAAAGGTGTTAGAGGGAGGGAATTCAAAGGGGCACAAGGAAAAATTCTAGTGTGATTGATATGTTCATTATCTCAGTTGCAGTAATTGTTACACCAGTAGATGCATCCATATTCAAAATTTATCAACTCGTACATTTTGAGAAATTATTATATATTTTAATTACATCTCAATAAAGATTTTTTCTTTAAAAATAAAGCAAAAATAAATCAGTGGGAAAGATATGCCTTCATTCAGGCACATTTATGATTTCAGAAATCTTGGGCTGCAACTACCTCTCATTGCCACAACAAAATACCTCTAGAACCTTTCAAGATTATTTTAATCTTTTAATCTTCAAACAGTATACCTGGTGATTTCAAAACCACAGAATCTGTTGAAACTAAGATAGCATGCTTAAGGGGAAACTAGAGTAAATTGTCATAGACTCTCAGAATCATGGCACAAGAAATAGATTCAAAGTCATGGGCAACAACTCATGCCACATTTCCAGTGACCTGTATAACTGAGAGTGGAGTTGAGCTCTGGCCCTCATCCATACCATATTGCCTGTTGTCAACTAACAATAGCCGCATCGCCACTTTACTGCCCTACACACATTGAGAATATGCAGTAGACTTTCATTGCAATTTTGCTTGTTTTCTTCTTGAAAAAAATGTTACTACCCTCTGTACTAGAAAAATGTTCAGATTGCTCACAATTATGTCCTGAGAGCAGTGAAATGGGAAATAATTATTTCTAAGAAGTCAGATCTGGGGAGGACCCCAAATAAGGCCATCCCTGCCTATTTATATTGACGTAATTGGCCGGCGCCATGGCTCACTAGGCTAATCCTCCGCCTTGCAGCGCTGGCACACCGGGTTCTAGTCCTGGTTGGGGCGCTGGGTTCTGTCCCAGTTGCCCCTCTTCCAGGCCAGCTCTCTGCCGTGGCCCGGGAGTGCAGTGGAGGATGGCCCAAGTGCTTGGGCCCTGCACCCCATGGGAGACCAGGAGAAGTACCTGGCTCCTGCCACCGGATCAGCACGGTGCGCTGGCCACAGTGCGCCGGCCGCGGCGGCCATTGGAGGGTGAACCAACGGCAAAGGAAGACTTTTCTCTCTCTCTCTCTCTCACTGTCCACTCTGCCTGTCAAAATAAATAAGTAAATAAATAAATAAAATATATTCACGTAATAGAGAATAATTAAGCCAACACACAACACAGAGAAAGAAGAGCTTCTTCCTCATTTTCTTCTTCTGATAATAGCACTAGCTACCCTTGACAAGGCACTCATTCTGAACCACGCACTATGCTAAACTATTTATGACAGTTATGTCATTTAACCCTCAACCACCAAAGTATTCTTAATAACTGATAAGCAAACCAAAGCCCTCCGAGGTATATAAGCAGCCCAATATCACAGAACCACAGCACCCAATCAGAACAGGCACTCTAGAAATGGTATTGGAGGCCCCAGGTTTTCATCCTTTAGTGAAAGATACTGACATGCTGGAATGGACCTCCAGGAAACAGTTATTTATCAAAGAAGTATGAAGATATTCCAAGATTTTAGCATAGAATTAAGACATACAAGTATGCATTGCCCTAGGAATGTGCAATCCTATTCCACATGTGACTTGACTCCAGAAGTCATGTTTTTAACCACTCTCACATCTCTCTCTACCAACAATCAAATCTCATCCTTATCACAATATCCCCCACCTGCAACCTGCTATTCTATTCATAGTTTCATGTCTGGGCCTACTTGGTACAGAATGGAATAGATCTATGTACTATCCAACTGACCATTAATAGAATTTATAAATTTTTAATAATTTTTTAAGTATAACTGCCTTCTACAAAGAGTAGATTCCATTGAAAGAAGCTTTTTGGGACTCCTGAGCACCTTGATGATTTTGACTAACGATAGAACTGAGGGTTATTAGACATCTACAAAAACAAAACTGAAACTTCCTGTGCCACTTGGGAGGTTCAAATAGGAGCTATGGCTGATGGAAAGGTGGAGAGAATCATGGAGATGTTGTAAGGTTGCAAGTCAGCTGGGAACTTTAAAGATTCCCAACGGTGGAGTGATCATTTGGGTGTTTCAAGAAACTAGAAACTGGATGTCTGATGTTTGAACTCAAAGGTCTTTGCATCAGTGTGGTATAAAATCCGCCTCTGCCTACCCCACCACCTTCATCACCTCCTTCTCCACTATATGCAGATTCTCAGAAGTTAAGGGCTTGAATGTCACATCTAAGTCTGCTCGAGCATGATACCACATTTGTGGTTCACGCTGCATTTCTAAAGCTGGTATGGACAGTGCTTTAAGAAGATGTGCTGCAAAGGGAAGGGGGAAAAAAAGCTTAGGAGGCAACTGGAGGGAGAAGTGGGATCCACATGGTTGTTTTAAGTTTACTTAATAACTTTTTTCCATAGGGTGAATTTGAGGATAAAATGAGATGAAGCATGCAATGAGCTTGGAACAATGTCTTATGCAAGTCAATCTTCAATGTGTTACTATTATTCTACCTCTCTGCTGTTTTCTGAGAGAGAGAGAGAGAGAGAGAGAGAGAGAGAGAGGAAGAGGAGGAGGGAGAAAAGCCAAGGTCTCCTTACTCTCTCTGTGTCCTCTGAAGCATCTGCAAATCCCGCCTCTGATCCACCAGCTGGTGTAGGATGGCTTTCCTCTTGTTGTTAGCAGCTGCCTCCAGCTGGTGTTTCATATAATTCTGTTCTCGCTTTCGCTTTTCTGCCATCAATTCATGCTCGTTCTGCCCAAAGATGGGCTCAGAGGAGTCTGGTTCAAACACAGGCAGCTGGCTGGGCTTGTTCTTTATCTGAAACAGGGACAAATATAACACAGATTATGATTCCACTGGAGAATAAACTTTAAGCAGAATTCTGTAAAGGAGTAGAATATCAATACCTTGAAAGAAGGAACAAAGGATTCAGAATCCACCAGAGGTATAACACATGGGGTATTCATAACATTATAGCATTTATACATATTTTAGAATGCTAATGAAGCACTGCATAATGTTTTTTTAAAAAATAATAACTGTCCCTTTACCTGTGCATCCAAAGCCCTCTTGTAACACTGGGTTTCCTCCATCTTATCTTTTAAATATTTGGCTCTTTGCGCAGCAAGTCTGGCAGTTAAGAACAGGAGAAAGTGGGGACACAGATTTAGAGTGTTTAGTAATAGAGATTACAGTTATCAAAACATGAGAATGAGAGCCTAGTATATAAAAATTGATGTTTCATTCTGGGAGCTTTCATTTTGAGAAAGAGTAGTACAGACACATAGGCCCTTGAACAGTGTGTTGAACACAGAACAGAAAGAACAGGGATCAGCAGGTGACAAATCACACTGTACAAATGTACTACTACTAAAACAGCAGGCAACACTCTACCCCTGCCAATCCTGCAGGAAGAGACAATTTGCTTTATAAACTGAGTCATTATAAGATTCTTAATAAGAACAGTGATCCTTTTAGAAAATATGATTTATTATATACAGCCTCTAGGGAACCCACATGTTCTCTAAAGTGAGTACAGTGAAACATTGACATTTCAGAGAAACACCATCATCCCTCAGTATCTGTAGGAATTGGTACTCCTGCAAATAACAAAAGCTGAGTCCCTTATAAAAATGGTCTTGTGTTTGCATGTAACCCACACTAATCCTCTTATAAACATTTAAACCATCTCTAAATTACTTATTAATACTTAATACAATATAAATTATATGTAAGTAGTTGTTATTGTTTAGGGAATAATCACCCAAAAAAGTCTGTACATGTTTAGTACAGATGAAATTTATTCTTTCAAATTGCTTTGATCTGTGGCTTATTGAACTCATGGATGCAGAACCAGGGGTACCATAACCAAAGAAATAGAGAGCTAACTGTAGACTTCCTGGTCACAGAAACTGTTTGAGGAGTCTCTGTGTACACTAGAGTAGGCTCCACAATTGCACTCCAGACCTCAGTAGGAGAACTGTGGGCCCCCTTGGGTATCTAGGAACTCCATGGTCTCAACCCTATTCTAGGCCTCATATAATGCAATCAGGACCAATCAGATTCTCTTTCCTGATCATTTGAGTTGAGACTGACATGTCCAAGTCTGAGGTGACAATGTCAACTAAGTGCTGTGGGTGTAAGCAAAGGGAATGCTGCTTTATGTGGCTGTCTAGTCCCCAGTTCCAGTCCTTTGTGGATTCCCTGTACATTTCTGTCTTTGGATTCCATAGAACACCCCTATACTTATAATAAAACCTCAGCTTTGTCTGAAAGTCACCTAGACATCTAATAGCTACTAATGATGCCTGCTCAAGACAAGTCCCTTCTTCTATCTACCAGTATTGCTGATTGCAAAACCATTCCAAATGTTACTTTGTAATTACAGCTATCTACAAGATTGGCAGTCATGCCACAATGATAATTAGAATAATGGTGGCTTTTTCACTTTTCTGATGAAACGTTATGCTATGGTACTGACTACTAACTGGATCAGTTTATTCATTTGGATACAGTGATGCTAGTGAAACTACCAAAGTTGATTCAGTTCCATACGGAAAATAACTTCACATGAAAATTCTCTAATTTTCAAATCTTAGTTAGCTGAACTCACTCCTCTGTGAGTTGCACTTGTTCTAGGCGGTCCATCAACTCTCTGTTTTGTCTTTGCTTTATTTCCTTTTCCCGTCTGTTATCCATTTGTTTCAGGAGACTCTGGGAATATTCCTCTTGCCTAACAGCATTAAGCTCGGGGCTGAGTGGTCGTTTGTCAAATAGGAAGGATTTCTAGAATGAAAGAAAAGCAACTCATTGACATTAGAATACCAAAAAATACTGGTAATAATTCAGAAACTAAAATAAATCAAGGTGTTTCTTAATTTCTTTTTTGCTCGACCCTAAACACATTAACCCCAGCTAGTGTTGAAGTAACCCACAAAATAATATGAGCACATTCAAGGTTGAAGCTGAGCTGAGCCTACCACAGCCCTATTTATAAGACAGAGATGGACAAGGATGCCATGGAGTAGGTCCTAATCTACCACTTAAACATCCACATGGAAGGAAGATGAAATTCTGAGCATTTGAAAAGCACAAGCAAGGACAAAGAGGAGGCAACAAGAAGGAATTGAATACCTGCAGTGGATCCAGCCATTTTACACAGTGGCTGTCCAACAGTGTCTAAAAACAGAGATCTTTGCTCTCATCTAGCTGAGATTCTGATGCAGAAAGCTAACAATGAACAAGTAAATGGTACATCAGAACCATTAAGCGAATGATTAAGTGCTATGAGTTCCCTACTATAGCAGTGACTGGGTGAAAACAGGCCTAAATTTCTTGGCTATTAGGGAAAGCTTTTCTATGAAGATCACTGAATTTTCCTCCACTGTAAATATCAAGGGACCTTTGTCCCACAGAGAAGGAACAGCAAGTGAAAAGACACTAGATGGACACAAGATAGGCTTGTTCTATTAGCTGAGGTGTAATGAGCAGGATAAAAAGAAGATGGTGAGCCCAAAGAAGAAGGCAGGGATCAAACTAGTATGGTCAAGGTGAGGATTTAGATTTGATTTTAATTGATTGGGAGAATATTAGAGGTTTTAAACAGGATAGCAATATGTTTTGGTTAAGATTTTAAAAGATTACTTTGGCTGTCATGTGGAGAATAGACTGTGGGAGCACAGGAATGCAAGCAGTGAGTAAATTAAAGAGGTATTACAGAAGTTGAGCCTTACAATGTAGCTTGGACTAGGGTGGTAACACTGAAGATGAAGAGATACAAATAGACATTATGTATTTTGGAAATAAAGAAAATGGACTTGCAGATGGTTGGATGTGAGGGACAGAGAAAGAAGAATCTGGGATTGCTCCTTGATATGAGGTGTGGCTGATCATGGCACTTACTAACACTGGGAGACAGAAAAATAGGTTGAGAAGGAAATCAAATGTTTCTGTTTTGGTCCTTGTAAGTTTGAAACATATATCTCGAAGTGGGCAGTCATAAATATAATCTGGAGCTTGCATATAAGAAATCGTAATTAAATCTCAAAGGTCCCATGCTCACTCTCCCTCCCTCTGTGCTGTCCCTGCTTGACATCTCTTCCTTCGTTCATTTTCTTAGCTAACTCTTGTATGCAGGAAGTCTTCCCAGATGTCTGGGCTGGGTTAAGTGATTCTTCTCTCTGCTCTCATATACTTCACAAAAATGTATCTGCCATTATTTCACTACACTATTGTTTCTTTCAGTGTCTATCTCCTCAACTAGACCAAGATCCCTTTAGAAGAAGGACATTGCATTCCTAACCATGAATACAATAGCTGGGCCAGAGTTCAATAGATGTTTGACAATAAATAAAGAAAATCTATTTTATTAGATTTAGGTCCATTCTGCCAGATTAGGGGCATGAAAAAAGAAAGATTCAGGCAGAAATAAAGGTAAGCACACAATGACCAAAAGCATTAAATCAAGCCATGAAACAGGGGGCCCACCTCCACCTGAAGCTTAGCTTCTCAAACTTTCAAAAACATGCAAATCACCTGGGTATCTTATTTAGCTATAGATTCCTATTCTGCCATTCCGGGGTGGGACCCTGAATTCTGCATTTCCAGAAAGATCCCAGAAGTTTGTGATGCTACTGGTTCTCTTTAGATCCTGGAACTCCACCAACTGTCCCAGATCCTGATTGAGAATGACTACAATTAATGAGAGATGCAGTGATGAACAGGAATTGTGTTATGAGTAAGCGGTGTGCAGTTGTACAGCAGACAGCACCTGCCCTAGAAGAAAGTTTCAACTTGTAGAAACCACTTTTGAACTCTGCCACTTTAAAAATGGTACAACCTGCAACACAGTAGAGGAGCCAAAGATCCATAGACAAGGCAGGTGTTAGCAATAACAAACTTTAAAGGACTCTTACATAAAATTCAGGTTTCTCATTCTTGTGCCTTCTAATAGCTTCAGCAACTCCAAGATTATAGGCAGCATTTTTCTGATTCTGTTCTCTAGTGGCCAGACTTTTCATCTATTATACATACAAAAAAAGATTTTAATTTTTAATCACATATTGAATTACAGCCTTTACAAATTTAATTCTCATATGTGGAATTTAAATAAGTCTATCTCAAAGAAATAGAGAATTGAATTGTAGATACCAGAGGCTGGAGAGCATAGGGGTAGAGAGATGAAGATGTTAGTCAATGGGAACAAAATTACAGTTAGGGGGCAGGTGCTGTGGCATAATTAGTCAAGCATCCACCTGCAGTGCCAGCATCCCATATGGATGCCAGTTCAAGTCCAAGCTGCTCCACTTCTGATCCAGCTCCCTGCTAATGCACCTGGGAAAGCATCAGAGGATGGCCCAAGTGCTTGGGCCCCTGAACCCACATAGGAGACCCAGAAGAAGCTCCTGACTTCTGGCTTTGGATTGGCCCAGCTCTGGCTGTTGGCGGCCATTTGGGGAGTGAACCAGCAAATGGAATATCCCTCCTTCTGTCTTTCCCTCTGTCTGTAACTTTGTCTCTCAAATAACTAAATAAATTTTTTTAAAAATTAAAAATAAGAAATAAGTGCTGGACTTCTATTGAACAGCAGGTGACTATACTCAGTAATAATATAATGTTAACTTCAAAATAGCTAGAAGATTTTGAATGTTTTACCACAAAAAAAGATGAATATGCTAATTACCAATTTCATCATTACACAATGATGTATGTATTAAAACATCACATTGTACCCTATAAAATTATACAATTATTACATGTCAATTAAAAATAAAACCATGGTCAGGCATTTGGCACAGAAGTTGAGATGGCACTTGGGACACTTGCATGCCATGTTTAAGTGCCTGATTCAAGTTCCAGTTCTGCTTCCAATCCCAGGTTCCTGCTAATACCTCCCTGACAGGTAGCAGGTGATATTACAAGTAGTTGGGTCTTTTCCATTCATGTGGAACACCTGCATTGGGTTTTCAGCTCCAGGCTTCCACCTGGCCTAACCCCACTGTTGCAAGCATTTGGAGAGTAAATCAGTAGAAAGGAGATCACCTTCACCCCAGCCCTCACCCCCACCGTTGTCCTCTCTTCCTTTTTCTCTTTCCTTTTCTCTCTTTCTCCTTCTCCTCCACCTTTCAAATGATTTTTTTTAAATTAAACTAAATGGAAGTTGATGCTATTATTGTTAAATAATCCAACCAAGTTAGAAACTTGCCTGTGGGAGACACTAGTACTTCCTAATATCTTCATATATTTACAAAAGTGAGTTAGGGAAGATTTCGTTTGTTATTTCCTGTTCTTGGCTTTATGCATCTATTGTTACAGGGATCTTAAGAAGGAATGAGGGGCGCCGGATTCTGTCCCGGTTGCCCCTCTTCCAGGCCAGCTCTCTGCTGTGGCCAGGGAAGTGCAGTGGAGGATGGCCCAGGTGCTTGGGCCCTATACCCCATGGGAGACCAGGAAAAGCACCTGGCTCCTGGCTCCTGGCTCCTGGCTCCTGGCTCCTGCCATCGGATCGGCGCAGTGCGCCGGCCGCAGTGCGCCGGCCGCGGTGGCCATTGGAGGGTGAACCAATGGCAAAGGAAGACCTTTCTCTCTGTCTCTCTCTCTCACTGTCCACTCTGCCTGTCAAAAAATAAAAAAAATAAAAAATAAAAAAATAAAAAAAAGAAGGAATGAAAGATTTCATCATACATGCAGTGAACAGCAGTTGAGTTTTGTTTTTGTTTTTTGTTGTTGTTGTTGTTGTTTGACAGGCAGAGTGAACAGTGAGAGAGGGAGACAGAGAGAAAGGTCTTCTTCCGTTGGTTCACCCCCCAATGGCTGCTGCGGCTGGTGCGCTGCAGCTGGCGCACTGCGCAGATCTGTAGCCAGGAGCCAGGTGTTTCTCCTGGTCTCCCTTGCAGGTGTAGGGCCCTCCTCCACTGCACTCCTGGGCCATAGCAGAGAGCTGGAATGGAAGAGGAGCAACCAGGACAGAATCCGGCGCCACGGCTGGGACTAGAACCTGGTGTGCTGGAGCCGCAGGAGGAGGATTAGCCTATTGAGCCACGGCACCGGCCAGAGAAGTTGAATTTTATGGAGCCCACAAAAATATAGATTAAAAAAATGAAAAATGTCAGTCTACCTTTGAGTACTTGAGATAGGCCATGATTCTGAAGAGTAAAAGCCTTATGTTTTCTCAGAAACCAAAAATAAAGCACATAAATCCAACAATTCTGCCTTTAAAATTCGGTCCTTATGGAGAAAAAAAAATCACCTATATGTGCAAGCATTCAACTACATGGGTATTCATCCAAGTATTGCTTATTATTAGTGAAAACATGAATGCAATCAAATTTTGGTACAGCAGTAAGTAAATGATTAAGTGCGTTACATTACAGAAACACTGTGGAATATTTTCAATGGCGTTTTATACTCACATTCTACCGTCCCACCTTAAACACTGTTTAAGTGAGGTATTCAACTACCTGGTGTTTGAAGAGAGCCTCCTGATCTTTCAACATTTGATACTGCTGTATGAGTTGCTCATCTTGCATCTCTCTCCTCTTCCTCTCCTCACTGGGGTACAACTGGGAACTTTGCTGTGCTCGTTGCAAACACACATAGCACATTTCCTACAAACCCAAATTTCAGAACCAATCAATTTTCACATGTTACTTACCTGCCTTCACATTTCCCTCACAATGTCTCCAAAAGCAGAATGTATCAAGAAACATACATTATAAAAGAATTTATTAGTGACAATTAACCTAATGGGCTTTACAGAATGGATTCCACAAATAAGCAAGAGGGTTTATGAAATACTCACTTGGTCAGAAGTGTTTATAGCAACAGAAAATTAAAAGAGATTTCCTAACCCTATTTCTGTTAGCTGGTAGATCTTGACCAGTAAGTAGAGAGATCACCATCCTGTAGGGGGCCCTGAATACTGGAGTCACACTCACACATTATACATAGGAAAGATTTCCAGAATGTTCTTTGAAAGAAGAAATCAGAGGAAGATGCTAACTGGGATTTACTTGTTTAAAGGTAGTACCTGTCCTGCCTTATTATGATCCTGGCAATCAGGAGCTGGAGATATTCTGGGCTTTGTTTCAGTGTCATTTTTCAGATAATCTGGAGCAGATAAACTGTAAAAACAATGCAATAGTAATTTTCTATTTTTCCTTTTTTAAGTTTTTTTAATGAATGCATTTTTCATAGGTACAACTTTAGGAATATAGTGGTTCTTTCCCCCATACCCGCCCTCCCACAACAACTCCCATTCTACCTCCTACTCCTTCTCCCATCCCATTCTTCATTATGGTTCATTTTTAGTTTAACTTTATATACAGAGGACTAACTCTATACTAAGTAAAGATTTCAACAGTTTGCACCCACACACACATACAACATATAAAGTACAGTTTGATAACAAGTTTTGCAGTTAATTCTCATAGTACAACTCATTAAGAACAGAGTTCCTACATGGGGAGTAAGTACACAGTAACTTCTGTTGTTCACAATAGTAATTAATATTTAACACAGTCTGATTTCTGAAGCAATGGTAATTTTAAACACAAGTATAAATTCAAGATAACAAAAATATCTCAGTAGTTTTCTTCAGAACAGCTGTATGTATGGAAATTAAGAATCCATACTTCATGTTAGATAAAGCTGGTTTTGAATCCCATCTTTATGGCTTACAAGGAGGTTGACATCAGACAAGCTGTATAGTCTTGCAAAGTTCCAGTTATCTATCCTGTGAAATGGGAACAAAATTTACATATCTCACAAAAATATATTGAGAGTACCATATGTACTCTTTTAGGCAGGGGGGACACGGTGAAGAACAAAACACCTGCAAAAACAATCCCTGACCTCATGGAATTTACATTCTGATGGGAATTGACAGCCAATAATGAGACAAGTAAGTAGCCTCTATGGGATGTTCTGTGATAATAAGTGCCACGCAATGCTGGAGGAATGAAGTATTAAATAATAAACAGAATAGCTAGGGAACTTCTCACCAAGAAAATGGCATTTAAGTAAATACCTAAAGGAAGTGAAGAAGCAAAAATGTAGATAGCTGATAGAAAAGCTAAGCCAGGTGAGCAAAGGAGTGCCAATGCCTGAAGATGGGTCTGCCTGTGCTCAACATGGCTAACAGGAGAGGAGGTGGGGATGAGAAGCAGGAGAGAGATCAGAGACCTGGCAGGATCTTTCAGGCCATGGTAAGGACCTTTTACCTTGAGTGAGAATGCAAAGCCATTGGAGGGTCTTGAACAGTGGATGATATCATCTAACTTACATCTTAATGGGTTACCCTGTCTGCAATGTTGAAAGTAAACTAAATAGGGAAAGTGACAGGATCAGAGAGAACAATTAGGAGACTATTCACCTGAATCAAGAAAAAGAGATAGTGGCTTGGAGCAGGTGACAATAGTAGAGTGATAAAAGTAGTTGCATAAGGTGCAGTTGACAGAATTTTCTGACTGGATACAAGTGCTTTTGCTTCCTCTCCATGCCTCTGACTTGACGTTTGTTTCCAGCCTCAATCCCCTGACACTTGCAGTCTCATTCTCTTGACTGCACACAGCTCCTGGTTCCTTGTCCAAGACCAAGAACTGAGCCCGCACTAGGTATAGATATGGTTTCCAGCATTTCAAGGTGACCAGAGCAAGAAGTTTTAATATTTTTTTTTTGACAGGCAGAGTGGACAGTGAGAGAGAGAGAGAGAGAAAGGTCTTCCTTTGCAGTTGGTTCACCCTCCAATGGCCGCCACGGCTGGCAAGCTGAGGCTGATGCACTGCGCTGATCCGAAGCCAGGAGCCAGGTGCTTCTCCTGGTCTCCCATGAGGTGCAGGGCCCAAGCACTTGGGCCATCCTCCACTGCCTTCCCGGGCCTCAGCAGAGAGCTGGCCTGGAAGAGGGGCAACCGGGACAGAATCCGGCACCCCGACCGGGACTAAAACCCGGTGTGCTGGTGCCGCTAGGTGGAGGATTAGCCTATTGAGCCGCGGTGCGGACCAGAAGTTTTAATATTAATATAAATATTTGATCTGAGTTTGTAGCTATACAATTTAAATATCATAAAAATCATAAGATAAAGAGGTACACACAGGAAAAACTACGCAAGGTGAATTCTCAAAGCAAAATTGTCTCCAAAGCCAAAAAAGCACCTCTGTCAACAGACCAATAAATGAGGAAATTCACACCCAAGGAAAAAAAACAGCAAAGCTCCTGGGAAGGAGAAAATTTTAAACAAGTCCATTCAAAATTTGAAGAGATAAAGAAAGATGTGGTAAGTAAACAAATATATTATGAAGTAATAAAATATGTAAATATTCAAAATGAAATATATAAAATTTTAAAAAGTGAACAAAAGGAATACATAGTGAACTGATCCACCTAGAACTGGTAGAAATTCACTTGAAAATAAAACTGAGACTATCACCTAAAACATAGTTCAAAGATAAATGTTTTTAAAAGTTGAGAAACAGGGCCAGCGCCGTGGCTCACTAGGCTAATCCTCCACCCACGGCGCTGGCACTCCAGGTTCTAATCCCGGTTGAGGCACCAGATTCTGTGCCAGTCACTCCTCTTCCAGTCCAGCTCTCTGCTGTGGCTCGGGAAGGCAGTGGAGGATGGCCCAAGTCCTGGGGCCCTGCACCCACATGGAAGACCGGGGGGTGGCACCTGGCTCCTGGCTTCCAATCAGCGCAGTGCACCAGCCGAGGCAGCCATTTGGAGGGTGAACCAACAGAAGGAAGATTTTTCTCTCTGTCTCTCTGTCTCTCTGTCTCTCTCTCTCTCACTGTCTAACTCTGTCCAAAAAAAAAAAAAAAAAAAAAAAGGTTGAGAAACAGAACAGATTTAGAAGCTGAAATACACATTTAATGGGAGTGATTGAATTATGTAATAAATGGAATGACAGAATAATAATCTAGAAGATAATGGATAAGAACTTTCAGAACATCGTGATTCCTAAGAATAGTAAAATAATAATAATGATATCAGGAAAGAAGAAAAACCCCTAAAAACAAAAGAAAAATTAATAACTAGATTAACCCAAGCTTCTCATCAGGACAACTACCAGAAGAAAATGGAATAATGTCATTAAAGTGTTGAAGGAAAGTAACTATGAGCGAAGAACTGGCATTGAAGAGTGACAACATAGTAAGAATCTTTTTAAGCAAGACAAAAAAAGTATATTGAAAAGACAGGAACTTCTACCAAAACAATTATTATAGGATACACTTTAGTAAGAAGGAAAATGAATACTGGAGGAGGGGTAGGAATATAAGAAACAAAGGTGAGTAAAAGAAATTGGTAAAATGTTTTGGTAAACCTAAATGATTTTTTACCATAAAATAACAATAATAATATAAAGTATAGACTCACAAGCAAATTGAACAAAAGTTCTAGACAAAAATATGGAAAGTTTGGAAGATGGAATTTCTAAGGTAACTCAAAACATGCTAAAGAAATGTGATCAATCCAACAGAATAGAAAAAAGGAGAATAATAAATAGAAAATACAAAACCAGATGTGAAGACAGGTCTGGGTATACCATAGCTACAATTGAACAGTAAAGTCCAGATTGAATTAAAAAGCATCCAAATACATGTTGTTAAAAAGAGACCCAATTAAAATAATAAAACACACAAAAATGAAAACAAATGGCATAAAAAGGATATTCCAAGTAAAAATTAACCAAATGCTGCACAGTTAATCAGATACAACATACTTCAAGGCAAAAGCTTTCAGTAGAAACAAAAGATATTTTATAATGATAAAAGGAACAATCTAAAAAACATAAGAATCATGGATATGTGTGGAATAAAATACATTGCTCAAGAAGCAAAAATCAACCTAACTACAGAAAAAAACACATCACCAAATGAATTATTTTTAACATCTCTCTCAGAGGAAAGCTAACAAGGATTTTAAAACTTTTAACAATTTATTTAATAAGGTTTAGCTAATATCAAAATATATAGTAAGTTTTATCCAAGAAATATAACACAATTTCTTCAAGTAGGCCTAGAATAAGTATTCAAGTCACAAAGGCAGGTTCAACAAATTACAAAGTTCCAAATAACTAATATTAAATGAAATAGACATCATGTAAAATAAGAAAGTTGTCCTCTCAAATCTCCATTCATTTGGAAACCTAAAATTAAAATCTTCTAAATAGCCAATGGACGGAGTAATAGATGAGCCTGCAATCCTTTACCACAATTCCAAAGTAACAAATGCTTGGAAGGCCCTGACTTCACTGGTCATTTTTTGTAACTTTGTGTTCCTTGTTCATGCTTTCCATTCCATCTTTTATTTCAGTATGTTGAGAAATAAAATACTATCTTACATTCCATATTTTATTTCATTCAAGTCCAAAATCCTCAGAAGTTCAGTTTTTCCATGCTTTGTTTCTGACAGCTCTAATTATATAACTTGTTTCCCACAGTCCCTGTAATTTTGGATTGTGACCTCATATTTGGCCCAGCTTAATCTATCAAAAGTCATAGGATGGGGCCAGTGCTGTGGCAGAGTGGGTGGGGCCACTGCTCTAGAGTGCTGGCATCCCATATAGGCGCAGGTTCGAATCCCAGCTTCTCTGCTTCCAATACAGCTCTCTGATATGGCCTGGGAAGGCAGGGGAAGATAGGCCACACTCTTGGGTCCCTGTCCCCATGTGGGAGACCCAGAAGAAGCTCCTGGTTCCTGGCTTCAGATCGGTCCAGCTCCGGCTGTTGTGGCCAATTGGGGAGTGAACCAGTGGATGGAAGACCTCTCTCTCTCTCTGCCCTTCCTTCTCTCTCTGTGTAACTCTGACTTTCAAATAAATAAATCTTTAAAAAAAATTCATAGGCAGGGCCAGCACTGTGGCATAACAGATAAAGCCACTGTCTGCAGTGCTGGCATCCTATTTGGGCACCAGTTTAAGTCCTGGCTGCTCCACTTCCTATCCAGCTCTCTGCTATGGCCTGGGAAAGCAATAGAAGATGGCCTAAATTCTTGTGCCCCTGCACCCACATGAAAGACTAGGAAGAAGCTCCTGACTCCTGGCTTCAGATCGGCCCCACTCTGGCTGTTGTGGCCATTTGGGGAGTAAACCAGCTAACCAGATTTCTCTTTCTCTCTCTGCTTCTGCTTCTCTGTAACTCTTTCAAATAAATAAATAAATCTTAAAAAAAAAAAAAAAAAAACAGTCATAGGAGCCTGGGTTGAGAATAGGACCCCTTACAGCAGAAGTGGACAAATGTTTTCTATAAATGGCCAGAGAGTAAAGATTTGACTTTTGAAGGTCCAGTGATCTCTTAGACAGCTAGTAGTTGTAGTTAATACACAAATGAATGGGCTTGGCTGTGTTCCAATAAAATTTATTTACAAAACAAGTGGTGTGCTGGGATTTGACTCCCATAGGACTTTTTAAACTATTTAGAGCACTAGAACTCTTTATTTTTAAAATAAACTGTTAAGCCCCAGAGCCTAGGGTGAGCAAGGGGTACAGGGACTGTTGATTGATCTTCATGGTTTGGTTTTTAAAAAAACCTTTCAGGAGCAACTCCCATAAGGAGGTAATAAGAAATGTGTCACATTTCTGGATACAATGTTCCATGAGAATTCACCCAGATATTTTTAAAAATTTTCTAAATTGGAGGGAAATTATCATTGACTTACTTACAACCACTGTACCCTTCATTCCTAGCTTAATTTGCACTTCCTACAGTAGTCCCTGTTGTTAACCATGGTACCATCTTCCCCAGTGACCCAAGCCAAAATCTAGGGTCAACCTTGACTCCTTTTTTCCCCAGATTTATTTATTTATTTATTTGAAAGTCAGAGTTACAGAGAGAAAGAGAAGGAGAGGCAGAGAGAGAGAGGTCTTCCATCCGCTGGCTCACTCCCCAATTGACTGCATTGATCATCTGAAGCCAGGAGCCAGGAGCTTCTTCTGGGTCTCCCACATGGGCATGGGGGCCCAAGGACTTGGACCATCTTCCACTGCTTTCCCAACCATAGCAGAGAGCTGGATTGGAAGTGGAGCAGCCAGGACTTGAACTAGTGCCCATATGGGATGCCAGCACTGCAGGTGGTGGCTTTACCCACTACACCACAGTGCCAGCCCCGACTCCTTTTTCTTAATACTTAATTAACTAACCACCCAGCCCTGCTGTTTCCACCTCCTAAACAGCCTAATCTAAAGCTTTCTCTCTAACTGTTTTCAGTTCCATATACTTATTATCTCTCCCTGGACCAACTGTACTCAATTGTTAAGCAGTGAAACTCATTCCTCCCACACACACTTACTTTAAACAAATTGTACCAAAACACAATATATAAAAGAAGGAAGCAGCACACATGCTCCAGTGGGAGTGAAGGGATAGAGCCCCAAGTCCCATCCATACATCAGCAGTCTCATCCTATGAAATGCTTCTCAAGGCCCACTGAGGAGCATTAGGGATATTTGTTGAAAACAAATGACTGGACTATTGCCTTAATCTCCTAAATTGTGCTAAATCTTTCCATTTTATTATGGCTCTTCTAAAAAGCTATATCCTTTCTCTCTATATCATTTTTACTCTTCTGAAAAAAATATTTTTTCAAAATGAAAATTTAATCATGTTCTGAAATCCTCATCCTGGTGTTTGGAGACTTGGACAGATTCACAAATCAGATAAGATACATTTTAACTTTCCATGCACCAAATGACTCAGAAAAAAATCCAAAACAAAAAGGTGAATTGAGAAAATATTTTATATATGCTCCAGAAAACTATTTATATCTAAAGTATATAACCTTTTCTTTGAAAGAAATATAATTTTCTTCTACGAAAAGTATACTAAACCTCCTAATATAAAAAAGGATTCAAACAGGATAATTTAAAAAAACTACTAATGGTTTGTTATAAATAAATACAAAATCATTAGAGATGTAAAGTACAAATTAAAACAGCAATGAAATACCACATTTCACCTATTATAGTAAAAACAATATCTTACAGTATAATGTACAGCATTAGCAAAGCTATATAAAAGATGACAGTCTCTCATAAATCTACCTATTAGGAGGGTAACTGGCAATGTGTATCAAAGGCATGAGAAACAGGCTCATCTACTTCTTTTTAAAAGCTATTTGTAAAATTATTTATGTATATACTTATTTACTTGAGAAACAGAGGGTGACAGAGACAGACAGAGGCAGAGAGACAGAGCTCCCATTCATTGGCTCACTCCCCAAATTCCTGCAATGGTTCAGTCTGGGCCAGGCCAACACTGGGAGCCAGTAACCCAATCCTTGTCGCCCAGCGTGGGTGGCAGGGACCCAGCTACTTGAGCCATCACCTGTTATCGCCCAGGATATGCATTAACGGGAAGCTGGAATGAGAAGAGAGTTGGGACTCAAACCCAGGCACTCCAACCATCATCTTAATTACCAGGTCAAACACTGGCTCCTCGTGTACCTCTGGTATTTGAAATTTAACTTCAGGGGCCGGCGCCATGGCGCAGTAGGTTAATCCTACGCCTGCGGCACTGGCATGTGGGCACCGGTTCTGGTCCCGGCTGCTCCTCTTCGGATCCGGCTCTCTGCTGTGGCCCGGAAGACCAGTAGAGGATGGCCCAGTCCTTGGGCCCCTGCAAGAGACCCAGAAGAAGCTCCTGGCTCCTGGTTTTGGAGGGGCGCAGCTCCAGACGTTGCGGCCATTTGGGGAGTGAACCAATGGAAAGAAGACCTTCCTCTCTGTCTCTCCCTCTCACTGTCTGTAACTCTAAATAAATAAATAAAAAATCTTTTAAAAAATGAAATTTAACTTCAAAGTTTTATCTATGTAATATTCATTTGTGTGCAGATAACTATGTGTAATTATATGTCATATTTTAATATTAAATATCTAGAAACCATGTACAGCCAAACAGGATATTAGTTACACAAAACATTTCTTTTCTATATGTTATACGATTATTTATTAATTTTTTGGAAGATTTAAAGCCATAGGAAACTCTTTATCACTCATCATTAAGTGTAACAAAGTTTCATACAATATGATCTCAATTTTATTTAAAAGGCGTGATTGCTTTAAGTGTTTATGTATGTATGCATTACATATGCACTGAAATGAAGGCTATACACCATGGTGTCAACAGAAAGCTTCCTCTATATCATAGCATTATGAGTGATTTATTAATAACACTTGCTTTTCTTATTTTTTAAAACTTTCTGTGATAAACATGAATTATTCTAATAATCATTACAATAAAAAACATTGTTCTATGGGAAACTGTCACTAACAACTCCCAATAATTAATTATTCTCTTCTTTTCCATCACTGTACTTTCTTTTGTTGTCTTCATCATATGCACTATTTCTTTAATGTCAATCTCCCTACAAAACCCTAAGCTTTATAAATATTTAGTTCTGTATCTCAGAGCCTAGAATAGTACCTGGCACACATTGGTGGCTCAATGTTTGTTGCATGGGACTAAATCCCAAAGTACTAGACACTTAATTCTCAATTATTTCTTAATAGTGAAATTATCCAAAATAAGCATATCTGGTTTTCAATGAAATTTTTAGTTATCTACAAATACATATATTGTACATATGATAGTTGAGAAATCATAATGCACTAATACATTAAAATTGACAGCACAGTGCAAGGTATACAGTCATTAGGTGCTCAATAAATACTTGAGAGCAGTTAATTGATATGAACTCCTTAAAAGTATCTTAATCAAAGACAGAAGGATAAAATTAAAATATCTGTGACATATATCATAAGAGGAACACATATCCATGATAAATTATAATGCATTAATTAATCCAAAGAATGTTTATTAAGAACTAATGGAGGCCGGCGCCGGGGCTCACTAGGCTAATCCTCTGCCTGCAGCACCGGCACCCGGGGGTTCTAGTCCCGGTCGGGGAACCAGTTCTGTCCCAGTTGCTCCTCTTCCAGTCTAGCTCTCTGCTGTGGCACGGGAGGGCAGTAGAGGATGGCCCAAGTGCTTGGGCCCTGCACCCGTATGGGAGACCAGGATAAGTACCTGGCTCCTGGCTTCAGATCGGTGCAGTGCTGGCCCTGGCGGCCATTTGGGGGGTGAACCAACGGAAGGAAGACCTTTCTTTCTGTCTCTCTCTCTCTCAATGTCTAACTCTGCCTGTCAAAAAAAAAAAAAAAAAAAAAGAAAGAACTAATGGAAGGGCCGGCGCTGTGGTAAAGCCACCATCTGCAGTGCCGGCATCCCATATGTGTACCAGTTTGAGTCCCAGCTGCTTCACTTCCGATCCAGCTCTCTGCTGAGGCCTGGGAAAGAAGAAGATGGTCCAAGGGCTTGGGCTGCTGCACCTGCTTGGGAGACCCGGAAGAAGCTCCTGGCTCCTGGCTTCAGATTGGCACTGCAGTGATTCTCTTTCATGCTTCATGTATATGGCTTTCACACTATATTGTGAGCCTTGGTCATCTCTACTATCCCCATCACTTTGTCTTATAGCATGTCCTCAAGAACACTGGCTAAACGAGGTGGGCATTATAGCACAGTGACTTAAGCTGCCTCTTGATATGCCTACATCTCATATCAGAGTGCCTGGGTTTGAGCTTTACTTCCTCTTCCTATCCAGCTTCCTGCTAATGAACATTCTGGAGGCAGCAAATGTGGCTCAAATACTTGGATCCCTGTCACCCACATGGGAGACTTGGGTGGAATTCCTGGCTCCTGGCTCCAGCCTGGCCCAATCCTGACAGTCAAAGATTTTGGGGAATAAACCAATGGATGGAAGATCTTTATCTCTATGTCACTCTGCCTTCAAATAAAAAAATAAATAACACTTTGAATATTGTATAAATAGAAGAACGAACAATTACTTAAATTTCCTGCACATCAAGAAATGACTCAAAATTTATTTAGTAAAGTACAACAGAAAAAAAAAAGTCAACGCATTACCTTTCAGGATTTATGTTCTTCCCACCACCTCCATTTGGCTCAGACTTGTCCAGCAAGCTGACATTTGTCACTTTGGCAGGGGGGATAGCTTGTCTATCTCGAAGTCTCTTGGATAAAGAGGCCTCTGTGGGGAAATAAAAATGAATGGAAGTGAGTTTCCTTCCAACTTTCAAATGACTAAATGGATAGCACAACAGCACAGATAAACTCTGATAGTTTTAACTAAGGAAACTTCTATATGACATATAATCTATCTTGAAATGATTGCTCCTTGATTTACTGTGATCTAAAACATATTTAGACAGCACTGTGCTGAATAGGTAGAGGGTACAAAGACTTTACCCTTAAAGATCTTTCCATAGACAGCAGAGGAGAGAAAAATAAGATATAAACCAAAAAAAGTGAGATCTCCTATTTGAGAAGTCTTATGCAACACTACAGTTAAATGTTTTACATATGTTGTATAAATAGAAATTTAGGAGCCAGCATTGTAGCAACAGATTAAGTCAATGCCTGCAATGCCAGCATCCCATATGGGTGCCAGTTCAAGTCCCAGTTGCTCCACTTCCAATCCAGCTCCCTACTAAGGTGCCTAGGAAAGCAGAAAAAGATGGCCCAAATCCTTGGGCCCTTGTACCCATGTGGGAAACATGGCTGAAGTTTCTGACTCCTGGATTAGGCCTGGCCCAAGCTTGGCCATTGCAGCCATTTGGGAAGTGAACCAGCAAATAGAAGATCTCTCTCTCTCTCTTTCTTTCTCTCTCTTTCTCTCTCTCTCTCTTTCTCTCTCTTCCTCTCTCTTCCTCTCTCTTTCTCTCTCTTTCTCTCTCTCTCTGTAACTCTGCCTTTTAAATAAATAAAATAAATAACAAGTAAATAAATAAAGAGAAATCTAGGATAAAATATCTAAATCCCAAACAGGATATGACGCATTTAGAGAAGACAGAAACCATTTCAAAAGTCAATGATAAGTTTTCATGCAGGAAGTGCAATGTAAAATGGGCACTAAAAGGTGCCTGAGGTTGAGATAAACTGAAAAAAAAAAAAAAAAAAAGGTGTTCCAGGCTGGAAGAAAAGAGCGAACACAAGGATGGAGTCAAGTCAGGGAAAGACAAAGCCTATTAGAATATGAATAGACAGTTTTGCTCAAAGAAGGAATCTGTAGGGAACGGAGAAACAAAAGTATGTGAATACTAAGCCAAAAATTTATAGGTGATCCTGTTGGCCACATACAAAAAATCAACATCCACAAGTCAGTGTGTACCCATTGGTATGTTTTGTTTGGGCTCATCAGCACATTTTGTTGCAATATTAGTTGTCAATATCTAACAATCAATAGATTCACATGAAAGTCAAGATCTCTATTTCTCTTGAAAAATCAGAAGACTGATATCACTTGGCCCACATTTCCATGAAGCCACAATCTGCTCAGAGGAACTATCTTCAAAGTGCATTCTGACAAGCACTAAAGGCTTCCAGAACTCTGAAAATGTCTTCAGAATCCCAGGGTGTTCTTCATGTGTCAGCCAAAACAACATATCACAACAGATTAAATACAGATGCAGATATGAGAAACCAGCTGTTTCTACAGATGGAAAACTGCCACTCTTCACTTTTCGTTTTTTAAAAATGTTATTTAAGGGTGAGCATTTGGTGCAGTCATAAAGATGCCACTTGAGATGCCCAGATCCCATACCGTGCCTAGGTTTGAGTTCTGGCCCCACTCATTATTCCAGCTTCCTGATAATGTTCACCTGAAGAGGCAGCAGTGATGGCTCAAGTGGTTGAATCCCTACCACCCACATGGGAGACTCAGACTGGGTTCCAGGCTTCTGTTTTTGGCTTAATCTAGCCCTGACTGTTGCAGGCACTGGAGAAGTGAAACAGCAGTTGGAAGATCTCTGCTTGTCTGTCTATGTCTCTGTCTCTGTCTTGCTCTCTCTGCCTTTTAAATAAAATAATGATAATAATAACAATAAATATAACAGGTATTAACTTTTGAAAATGCTACTTACATTAACATGTTTCCCTATCATCTTATCCCACCTAATTCCTCCATTCACATTACCTGCCTGGATCCTGTAATCTTCTGAGTTTTGACCCCTTTAAGCTATGAGGAGCCATCAAACACTACGTTTAAGAGCCTGATGGTCATAGGATCTAAAACTCATAAAGTGGTTAAGGTGAAATACAAAATCCCTTATGAACTCTACTTTTGCTCTAAGCAGACCCCAAACAAGACAACTTACCACCTCAAAACACCACGCAATCACATTTCTCTGCCCAGAATACTATTGCTAATAACAATTTTGATATTTGCTAGAGAAAAGAATACAGTGATCATGTAACTTTATTGACTTTATATGAGTTACTAAGCAATATGGCTGGGTTCATAAGCAATAAACAGTGACAGATTATAACTGGAAAACTTTGGCCTACCTCTGGCACCTTCTTTGTCTGATTGGTCTTTCAACTTGTACTTCCTTTGTCTATTCTCTCCACCTTCTTCTGCAATCGTCTCCAGAGGTGGTTTATTCTCTGTCTCCTTGAACTCAATCCTAAGAACAAGCCAAGATATTTGTCTCTGAACTAGACCTTAATGGTCGACCTTGTGAACTCTCATTTATGGGAAGCAACCCAGCCAGTTCGTTGATTTTGAAATTAGCCCACTTCCTTCAAGGGAGTGAGTGCTTCGATTTGCCGAGTACATATCACTAACTCATTCTGTTTGAAGCTAAGTCTGGGAGCTAAACAATACCTTCCTCCCTCTATACAATGGTTTCAAAAGCAATTTGATTCAGGCTACTTTAAAAAACTTGTGGGGGCCGGTGCTGTGGCGTAGCTAATAAGGCTGCTGCCTGCAGTGCCAGTATCCCACAGGGGCACCAGTTCGAGACCCGGCTGTTCCACTTCTGATCCATCTCTCTACCATGGCCTGGGAAAGCAGTAGAAGATGGCCCAAGTCCTTGGGCCCCTGCACCGGCGTGGGAGACCTGGAAGAAACTCCTGGCTCCTGGCTTCGGATAGGCGCAGCTCTGATCGTTGCTGCCAATTGGGCAGTGAACCAGCGGATGGAAGACCTCTCTCTCTCTCTTTCTCTCTCTCTGCCTCTCCTTCTCTCTGTGTGTAACTCTGACTTTCAAGTAAAATAAATAAATCTTAAAAAAAAATTGTGGATAGATAAGAAGTTTACTTTGGTACAAAACAATTTTGAAAACTATACACAGTTTTTTCATAATATGCATTTTCTATGAACTTTTTAATGATCCTTTGTATATAGAGAAACTGCTTTGAAGACCCCAAGTTAAATTTCTAGTTTTGGTTTCAGTTTGAAATTTTCAAAGTCCTTTCTATTCTGTAACTAGAAGTCATGGGAGTGATACAGTGAAAAGTGGTTACTGCAAAGCTTGAAAGGATTCATAGCCTGAGAGACAAAGTATAACCTGAAATAACCTTTTCTTTCTCACCTCTTTATCACCCCAACACCCTCCCATCTCTTTCACAAAAGGCAAAAATGAAGGACATGCAGACATATTTCAAGGCAGAAGTGATGAGTATTTGACTGGTGCATCTTTTCTTTGGCCTCGGGGATGGAGTTTCGAGTTGGAGTTGAGAAGGCAGGGGTGTCCAGTAAATTCAATGACCAAATTCACATCAATAAAACACCAACAAATGTTTTGACTATTCGAGTTCTCATATCCATTTCTAGGCTCTTGAAATGACAGAAGCCTCTATTTCTGTTGCTTGTTCTACTACAATTAGTTCTCTACTGGAGTGTTTATGCCAAACTGTGTCAAAGGGAACAGCCAAAATTGCTTTCCAAAACAATCAAAGTAAAATTATTATGAATCTATTGATTTTTAATGAGTAAGGCAACATGGTTCAATGAAACAATCAGGAGCCATTGTCCTATTTCTGGCTTTGCCACTTATGAACATACAGCCATTCTGTCTGCAATGTGAAAGGGTTGCACTAACTCTCTTAAGGTTTATTCTGGTCTTCATATGATTTGTCTGAGACATGTGTCATAAAGCTCTCCAAGGAGGGATTTGTTCCCAACCAACAGACAAAACAGGATGTCCCAGACTCAAAAAATATAAGAAAATAAAGACTGACGTTTGGTGCAGTGGTTAAGACATCACTTGGGATGACCACATTCCACATTAGAGTGCCTGGGTTTGTGTCCTAGCTCTGCTCCCAATTCCAGCTTTCTGATAGCGTGCACTCTGGGAGGCAGCAGGTGATTGCTCAAATGATTGAGTCCCTACGCCCATGTGGGAGACCTGGATTGAGCTCTAGGCTCCTGGATTCAGCCTGGCCCAACCCCAGCTATTATAGGCATTTAGGGAGCACATCAGCAGATAGGAGACCTAAGTGCATCTCTCTTTCAAACAAAGTGGGGAAAAAAAAGGTTAAAATAAAAAAAAAAATCTGGGCTGGCACTGTGGTGTGCTGAGTAGGGTGTCCGCCTGCGACACTGACATCACATATGGGTGCCAGTTTGTGTCCTAGTTGCTCTATTTCAGATCCAGCTCCCTGCTGATGTGCCTGGGAGAGCAGTGGAAAATGGCCCAAATGCTTGGGCCCCTGCACCCATGTGGCAGACCCAGAAGTACCTCCTGCCTTCTGGCTTCTGGCTTCAAAAGACCTAGCTCTGGCCATTGCTGTCATTTGGAGAGTGAGCCAGCAGATGGAAGATCTCTTTCTCTCTCTGTAACTCTGCCTTTCAAATAAATAAATCTTTAAAGAAACAAACAAACAAAGAAGAAAGAAGAGAGAGAGAGAAAGGAAGGAAGGAAAGGAGGGAGGGAGGCAGGGAGGGGCTGGCGCTGTGGCATAGCGGGTAAAAGCTCCATCTGCAGTGCCAGCATCCCATATGGGCAATTCTTTGAGTCCCAGCTGCTCCACTTCTGATCCTGCTCTCTGCTATGGCCTGGGAAAGCAGTAGAAGATGGCCCAAGTCCTTGGGCCCCTGCACCCGCGTGGGAGACCCAGAAGAAGCTCCTGGCTCCTGGCTTCAGATTAGTGCAGCTCCAGCCCTTGTGGCCAATTGGGGAATGAACCAGAGGATGGAAGACCTCTCTCTCTCTCTCTCTCTCTCTCTCTCTCTCTGCCTCTCCTCTGTGTAACTCTGACTTTCAAATAAATGAATAAATCTTTAAAGTAAAAAAGAAAGGAAGGAAGAAGGGAGGGAGGGAGGGAAGGAAGGAAGGAAGGAAGGAAGGAAGGAAGGAAGGAAGGAAGGAAGGAAGGAAGATTCTAAATGCCCACTGTAATTTAACTACAGAATGTGGATGCAATAAACTCTTCTTTGCATTGAGAGAGAGACAGAGAGTATGCACTAAAAGGAGACGGATAAACACTGCCCAATCAGATCAACAGATCAGCGCAGGGGAGCTGGTGCCTGGAAGAATGCACAAAACAAAGCACTCACCTTGGAAACGCAAGTGCACTGCTGGGCCGCTTCCCAACAGCCTCTCTGCTGGACAACACTGAGTCCATAGTGCCTGGCCTCTGGGGGACAGAGACAAAGGAAGGTTACACCTTGGCTGTGGTCCAGGACGCAGACAAATCAGAAACTGCAGTCTGTCTCAAAGGCAAAGCTACCATGATACCTCATACTGTTATGTTCTTTCAGCGCTTAGAAATCCAGAGCTTAAGATCCAGTGAGAAATAATCCCAATTCATCAAAATAGCCACCCTGGGTAGCTGCATAGCAATTCCATTCATGCTGCCTTTTCTCAAATCATTTTTTCTTCAGAAATTCCCTTTATAGTTTCTGATACACTTTTTAAGAGCAGAGCAGACTCCTTCAAACTATCAGAAAAATGAGCAGAAAAATGCCTTTTTTGACCCAAATGACTCTCTAGTTAGGCACTTAAGAGAAAGGTTGTGGAGTTAGATGGGCTCACATTCAAATCCCCATGATGCTTCCAATATGTGGCCTTAGGCCCTAGGTTTGTGGGTATCATAATAAGATCTAATTCTGAGGACTTTTCTGAGGTATACTATGTCAATTGCTAGTACATACTAATCACTCAACAAATATCTATTGTAATTATTTTGTAATAACCACATTATTATGTTATGTCTAGAAAAACATGACATTTTTGTTTGGGATGAATGCTATAGCTTACAAAAGACTTTGAAGAAAATTCTCAATCAAAGCTCATAGAAGTGTTTCATTTAAAAAAGCAGCATTACTGAAATAAGCACACAACTTCCCAAGATGATTCTACATAACATTACTCAGGTTTAAACTAAACTATGGGACATTTGAGAATAAACCCATCACTCCTGCCATTTTATAGCAGTTTCCCAAAATATGCTTTGTAGAGTTAGAGATATTCATGAGTACTGGGTTGACCTAGAGTTCATGATCAAATACGCTTGGGCAGTTCAACCAGCTGCTTCACAGCCAGACTTCTCAGCTGCATTAACATCTTGGTGTGCTTTGTGCTCCTGTCCCTGAGGGTGACTGACACAATCAACAGTTCTCAATATGCTATGTCCTCTTTTTTTTGTAAACTCTCTCTCAGGACTGCTTATTGTGGGAAATGCTCCTTGAGTTCAGCAGGTCAGGCAAAATGCCCCCCTTCTCTTTTAAACCCATACTGAAACCACAAAGCTCACACTTAGAGATGAGCTCGCCGCTTTGCTGTGTGCTTCTACTTTCCACACACAAGGCTGGCATCCCTCTTAGTCATCCTGTATGAATGCAGATTGTGCAGAAAACACCAACAGCCTCATTATGCACATCTCTATCACCTCTATGCCCATCCCAGCTCTCCATGAAAGGAGACATCAGCAGAATTAGATAACATTCATAGTTCTTTCATTTAAAAATCAGGCTTTTGCTTTATGGAATATAGGATGATATAACATGCTATGAAAATTCATATCAACTTTGTTAGTTCCTATAGGTGTGCTTAAGGCATATTAATTATTCAACAAATCCTACTGATTGACTTCTTCATTGCTACCTTATACTGTGCTATGACCAACTTAGCATGAAGGTCACACCTGCTACTTAGTGGTTAACAATGGAATATGTCTAGACAGGTTACTTAAAGGCTAACAATGATGGCCAATTATGCCAATTATGAAACTTCTACAACATGGCACTAAAAGCCAAAGATTCAAGAGTCCTGAAAAAAAGTCATGGAAATGGAATTAAAATATAAATTTATTTTAGTTCAAAAATATTGAAAGCCATGTGGGTGTTTCATAATACACATTTTCCATTAACTTTTTGAAGACCATTTTTATTCATGTATTTCAAATGCTTGACACCAAAGTAAACTCATCTTTTAATTCCACTTTCCATGAATTCTTGAAGTATATTCATATACTTCCATGATCTGAATTAGATTTTGTCATAAACTTTCATTAAAATAAAACAGAACCAGCAAAAACTGAATGATTAAGAAGGCTGGGCTTGAACCCAAGTTCCTGCACTTATTGGCACCCCAATCTCAGGCTTCCACCACAACCTCTCTGAACCCCCATTTTTCACTTGATGATAAGAAGGGAAACTGATTTTATAATGCTTGACACTCAAACGGAAAAAGACATGTGGAAGAACATTTTTAACTACAAAAGGCTTTTAAAATGTTCAGAATTTATGTTTTTCATCAGCATTAACTCCTAACAGCTTAAAGTTCATACGACTTTATAATCTTTCTTGTGAAAAAGTTAATCAACTATAACCAAGTGTTTCTGTCAACTTGTAGTAACTGTCACTTAAAATACATCAGGTTGAGTTCTTCTTAATGACATCACACATATAGATGACTCAGAGCTACAATTGGGAATCGGGGTAGGAGAAGGCAAACAATTTACATTTGCTAAGACTTTCATCAGAGTCCCACTTCCATCCACGGTACAAAGGAAGTCCTTAAAAAATTTCATCTTCACTTTGCTGTCTCTGATCACAAGAACCCCAATTCCTTTGAATGTAAACTCCACATTCTGTTTGATGGAAATGGATCGCGATAAGTAAAGCAACGTCTCCTTCACACATCCTTCCACAGTGTCCCTGTTAAATGGGCCGTCCAGGGATATCATGACAAAGTTCAGTGGAACAATTGGAATATCACCTAGAGAAGAAAAAGACAGTTAGAATGGGGATAATTAACTGGAAATTACAATAAGAACCTATCATATACATTCACAAATTATCTGATTCTCACTTAATACTCAGAAATTTGAATTGGCCAAGTGAAGCTTTTGACTGCAGATAAAACAACAACTCATTCACACCTATAGACTAGTAAAACTGTCTCTAAAAATTTGTTTTATGCTCAAAAAAAGAGCAATTAGCTTTCGAGAGAAACTTTAGACAAGCTTCCAGTTTCCCCTAGAAGACACAGTAATAATTAACTGCTTCTCCGGAGGGTGGTAAGACCCATTATTTTTCAGACCAAGCTGCAGCAATGTTTGTCTATGCCCTTCAGTTACCATTTCTAAATTATTATTAAAAATCTTTACAAATTTCAAATATTTTGAAAAAGACAGTCATCACCCCTAGAAGTTATTCAAATGAAACTGGATCTTATACAAAGATGTCAGGCTGGATGACTTACAGAAAGCTTTTTCTGTCTAATGAGCCCAAAAATGACATTGCAAACAAGTAACATTAGAGAGCGGCAAGATGGCAGAATAGGAAGGGAGCACACTGATAGTCCGGGAAGAGACAGTTTAATAAAAGCGGAGATACTGTAGGTTCAAGGAAAAGTTGGGGAAGAAACAGCAGAGGAAACTCTTCCAGAACTAGTGATTCACGGTGGACCTGCGTGGAGGGCATGGGAACCCATGGCTCAGGACACCAGCGGCGGAATCTAGCGCCAGCACTGGAACACGAGGTGAGCAGAACCTCAATAGCCCGAGACACTGGCAGGAAAGCAGAAGGAGGAGCCTAGAGGGAACAAGGCTTGAAGCCCCGTGGGGGAAAGTTCACCAGGCTAACTAGAGGAGTGAGGAAAAAAAAAAAAAGGGACCGATATGAACACGAGTTTCTCTCTCTCCGTTCACCTCTCAAAGGTGAGCAAGACAAAGAGCAGGCGCCATTTTGGTCATACGCAAAAGCTGCACGATCTCAGGGCTGCACCCACCCACAGCCAAGCACAAAAACCTGACTCTGGGGTGGGGGGAGGGGCGGGGGGTGAAATAACAGAAGATTAGGACCTAGTGAATGTGTGAAGCTAATGAACTGAGACAGTGAAAAAAGAGACTGTGGGTGAGAGAACTCACAGAGTTCATGTGAGTACTCTCCAGAGACGCTACAATTCGGTAACCTTGGCAACCCAGTGAAAGACTGCAGGAGAATTTGAGCCCACACTTAGGGCAGCACATGATTCCCTGTGTGGTCCTTGGGAAAGATCAAGCAAAATTTATACACACAGGAGCCAGAGATCAGAAGCTGACTACATTCAATTCCACTCAGCTGTGTGGAATTACTTCCCTTCTGGAAGGAAGGAAGGAAGGAAGGAAGGAAGGAAGGAAGGAAGGAAGGAAGACTGATTTACCACACCTAACCTGGGAGTGTCACCTTGGGCACACCCTTAACCCTGAGGAACCAAACAGAGGTCTCTGGCCACACCCATCTCAAGCCTCTAAGACTCCATCAAAAGCAGACAGTCCACTTAATACAGTCATAGTATAACAAGAAAAAACACCATAGCGAGGGAAGAAGAATCCAAAGAATATCTCCACAATGCCAAGCAACAAATGCAAAAACTGAGGAAACAAGAACAAGGAAGACATTATGATGCCCCCAAATGAAAAAGACACCCCAATTCAAGATTAGGAAGATGATGAGATAGAAGAAATGCAAGATACGGATTTCAAAAAATTTATGATAAGAACATTTAGAAGTTTTCAAAAACAAAGGCTTGAGCTACATAAATCCTTACTGGACAGGATAGAAAATCTCTCTTGTGAAAATGAAATCTTAAGGAGGAATCAAAATGAAACGCAGAAACTAGTAGAACAGGAAAGTGTGACAGTGAAGAGAAATCAAAATGAAATGAAGAATTCAATAGATCAAATGACAAACACATTAGAGAGCCTTAAAAAGAGAGTCAGTGAAGCAGAAGAGAGAATATTGGACTTAGAAGACAGAGAATAGGAAAGTATAAAGTCAAACCAAGGAAAAGAAGAGGAAATTAGAAATCTAAAAAATATTGTTGGGAATCTACAGGATACTATTAAAAAACCCAACATTCGGGTTCTAGGAGTTCCTGCAGGCATGGAGAGAGAGAACGGATTAGAAGGCCTTTTTAGTGAGATACTTGCAGAGAACTTCCGGGGTTTGGAGAAGGACAGAGACATCCTAATACAGGAAGCTCATAGAACCCCTAGTAAACATGACCAAAAGAGATCCTCACCATGACACATTGTAATCAAACTCACCACAGTGAAACACAAAGACAAGATTCTAAAATGTGCAAGAGAGAAATGTCAGATTACTCTCAGAGGCTCTCCAATTAGACTCACAGCTGACTTCTCACCAGAAACCCTACAAGCTAGAAGGGAATGGCGAGACATAGCCCAGGTACTAAGAGAGAAAAACTGCCAGCCCAGAATATAATATCCTGCAAAGCTCTCATTTGTGAATGAAGGTGAAATAAAGACCTTTCATAGCAAACAGAAATTGAAAGAATTTGTCGCCACTCGTCCAGCCCTGCAAAATGATGCTTAAAGATGTGTTACACACAGAAACACAGAAACAAGGTCACCAATATGAAAGAAGGTAAAGGAAGGAAACCTCACAGCAAAAGATCACAGGAAGTATAAAGCATATATTAGAAAATATCTTTGGGAAAATGGCAGGGCAAAGTCACTACTTATCAATAGTCACATTGAACATTAATGGCCTGAACTGTCCAGTTAAAAGACACCAATTGGCTGATTGGCTTAAGGAACAAAATCCATCTATTTGCTGCTTACAAGAAACACATCTTTCCAACAAAGACGCATACAGACTGAAAGTGAAAGGCTAGAAAAAGATATACCATGCCAACAGAAATGAAAAAAGAGCGGGCATAGTTTAACACAAAAACTGTTAAGAGAGACAAAGAGGGGCACTATATAATGATTAAGGGATCAATTAAACAGGAAGATATAACAATTATCAATGTATATGCACCTAATTACAGGGCACCGGTTTATTTAAAAGATTTGTTAAGGGACTTAAAGGGAGACTTAGACTCCAATACAGTAGTACTGGGGGACTTCAATACTCCACTCTCAGAAATAGACAGGACAGAAGATCAACAAGGAGACGGTAGATTTAAATGACACTATAGCCCAAATGGATCTAACAGATATCTACAGAACTATTCATCCTGCACTTAAAGAATTTACATTCTTCTCAGCAGTACATGGAACCTACTCTAGGATTGTCCACATACTAGGTCATAAATTAAGTCTCGGCAAATTCAAAAGAATTAGAATCATACCATGCAGCTTCTCAGACCATAAAGGAATGAAGTTGGAAATTAGCAACTCAGGAATCCCTAGAGCATATACAAACACATGGAGACTGAACAACATGCTCCTGAATGAACACTGGGTCATAGAAGAAATCAAAAGGGAAATCAAAAACTTTCTGGAAGTAAATGAGGATAACAGCACAACATACCAAAACTTATGGGATACAGCAAAAGCAGTGTTAAGAGGAAAGTTTATAGCAATAGGTGCCTACATCAAGAAATTGGAAAGGCACCAAATAAATGAGCTACAATTCATGTCAAGGATCTAGAAAAACTGCAGCAAACCAAACCCAAATCTAGTAGGAGAAGAGAAATAATTAAAATCAGAGAAGAAATCAACAGGATTGAATCTAAAAAAAAATTACAAAAAATCAGCCAAACGAGGAGCTGGTTTTTTGAAAAAATAAACAAAATTGACACCTCATTGGCCCAACTAACTAAAAAAAGAAGAGAAAAGACCCAAATCAATAAAATCAGAGATGAAAAAGGAAACATAACGACACCACAGAAATAAAAAGAATCATCAGAAATTACTACAAGGACTTGTATGCCAGCAAACAGGGAAACCTATCAGAAATGGATAGATTCCTGGACACATGCAATCTACCAAAATTGAACCAGGAAGACATAGAAAACCTAAATAGACCCATAACTGAGACAGAAATTGGAACAGTAATAAAGGCCCTCCCAACAAAGAAAACCCCAGGACCAGATGGATTCACTGCTGAATTCTACCAGACGTTTAAAGAAGAACTAACTCCAATTCTTCTCAAACTATTCACAACAATTGAAAAAGAGGGAATCCTCCCAAATTCTTTCTATGAAGCCAGCATCACCTTAATTCCTAAGCTGGAAAAAGATGCAGCATTGAAAGAAAATTACAGACCAATACCCTGATGAACATAGATCCAAAAATCCTCAATAAAATTCTCGCCAATAGAATGCAACAACACATCAGAAAGATCATCCACCCAGACCAAGTGGGATTCATCCCTGGTATGCAGGGATGGTTCAATGTGCGCAAAACGATCAATGTGATACACCACATTAACAGACTGCAGAAGAAAAACCATATGATGATCTCAATAGATGCAGAGAAAGCATTTGATAAAATCCAACACCCTTTCATGATGAAAACTCTAAGCAAACTGGGTATGGAAGGAACATTCCTCAATACAATCAAAGCAATCTATGAAAAACCCATGGCCAACATCCTATTGAATGGGGAAAAGTTGGAAACATTTCCACTGAGATCTGGCAACAGACAGGGATGCCCACTCTCACCACTGCTATTCAATATAGTTCTGGAGGTTCTAGCCAGAGCTATTAGGCAAGAAAAAGAAATTAAAGGGATACAAATTGGGAAGGAAGAACTCAAATTATCCCTCTTTGCAGATGATATGATTCTTTATTTAGGGGACCCAAAGAACTCTACTAAGAGACTATTGGAACTCATAGAAGAGTTTGGCAAAGTAGCAGGGTATAAAATCAATGCACAAAAATCAACAGCCTTTGTATACACAGGCAATGCCACGGCTGAGGAAGAACTTCTAAGATCAATCCCATTCACAATAGCTACAAAAACAATCAAATACCTTGGAATA